GCCCTGGAAGACAGAACTGCCCCCAGAGACGACTCTCTAGGGCGGGCATCTTCAGTGAGGCCACCTCCCTCGTCCAAGGACGGTGGTTCAAACCTCCACTCTGGTTAGCAGCTGCGTGCTCACACACTGCTTTCCACAGGCCCTCCTCATTAGCTAGTCTCCGAAGCTCGGGGCCACCGGGCTGACCCCGCCTCACAGTGACCCCCATGGGTTTCTGAGGTGGTAACTCTCTACCAGAGCAGACAGCATCATCTTTCTCCTGAGGATCGGCTAGTGGACTGGAACCGCTAACCCTGCATAACCCACTATGCTGGCAGGGCTCAAACCAAAACCACCGTGAGATCTGGCTTATACCCACTAGAGCCAGAGAGTCACATAGCCGGGCTCACAAGTGCAGGGGGAGCAGGGGGCAAACAGCCGCAGGCACTGCTCGTGAGGATGCAGTTCTCAGAGGGTAGAACCTTCAGGCTCCGTTGTAATAAATACCCCGGTGCCCCCTCCTAGGCAAAGACCCAGGAGAAATGAAAGCTGCTGGGTCCTGGATGCCCACACCCGCAACAACCTCAGCACCCGGCCGGTGTAAGGACTCACACCGGGGCTCCTGGGCCAGCTGCCACCACAGCTGATGGCCGTCTGGCCCTTCAAGTCCTCCTGCCCTCGAGAGAGAACATAGCAAGAGGCCAGCCAGCTGGAAAAGCAAGATAGCCCTGTCGCGGGGCTGGGTCTCGGGCAGCCCGGAAGATCCAGCGCTGAACTGGCCGCCTCCTGCGGCCGGGCCGTCCCATTTTTGTGTCCAGCTTGGCTGAACAGCATATCAGGGTCACTAGGGCTGGAATTCCAGGCCTGCTGGGCTGTGGCCTTAAAGGAAGGTACGGCAGGCCCTGGGGAGAGGACGCCGCCTCTTACCTGTCCTGCCAGGCAGCAGACGACTCCTGGGGCTCAGTCAGCACACATATATTCTGGTCAGCATCCTGGACACCACGGGGACTCACTGAGCAGCTGCTTTAACCACCGAGGTCTCCCTGCCAGGGAGCATCACTCAAGCTAAGACTAGGGTGTCAGAGAGCCCGCTTCTGACTTGAAGGCCCTCTGGTGGCTTTCAGTGGGTTATGTGCTAGGCTGCTAACCACTAGGTTGGCAGTTCAGGCCCACTAGTCGCTCTGTGGGAAAAAGAGGAGGGTTTCTGCTCCTATAAAGATTTACAGCCTTGGAAACCACCAAGGTAGATCTACTCTGCCCCCGAGGGTCTCTAGGACTTAGGGTTTTCTTCTGCTCCCTCCCTCTCCCTGACCCCCTCTCCACCCCAGGCCTCCCACCTACTTAAACCCATCCAAGACCATCTCCCCCCCTGAAAGCCTCTAAATACTAGAGATGACGTCCTTCCAATGAAACCTTGCAGCAAACTGAGGGGAAGGGTCTGGAGGCCAAAGCGGCGGGGTGGTAGGTGCGGCGGTGAGAATGGGGTTTTTAAACAATTGGTCTCTTCTATGAAAAATGGAAGGATTGGATGGGTAAGCTGACCCAGGCATGCAGTGACGCTGGGCATTGAAGACGATGCCGGGTGTTCAGGCAGGGGCGCAATCCCAGTGCTGCCACAGCCAGGCTTTTCCAGAGAGGCCTCTGCCGGGGCCTGGGTGGAGGGGTGGCCACAGCTGGGCTAGGTCCAGCCTCTGCCTGCGTTGTCAGAGGGTAAGTGGCACCGTGTCTGATGCTGGTTCCCAGCAGGCGATGATGCTGTGCCTACCTCCAGCTGCAAGGTAGCTGGTAAACCCAGCACTTTGCTGGGCATGTCCGGTCTCAGATGGGGTGGGGCATGAGAACAGCAGGACAGCGTCGCCCAGGGGGCTGGTTCCCAGGGGGACACTGACTCCAACCTTTGTTGGCAGGCCAAGTTTCCACTGTGGCTTCCAGGGCCAGTTCCGGCAGCTCCCTGCCCCGAGGGAGAGAGCGGGAGAAGCTGTTGCCAAGGGGCCACCACCCACCTCAGCCCCTGGGAGTCACTGCTCTACCTTCTGCCTGGAAATACAATCCCTTTGGGTTCTGGTTTGTCTCCATTTAATCCGCCCCATCCTGCTCCTGGAAACTGGGCTCCCGGAGGGCACCCCCTGCCCCCAGTGGGCCTCCGGGTCCTTCCTTCTTTGGGAGGGTGACACACTGGCCACTGAGTCTCTCTCGGCATCAACCTTGCCCCACCTGTGCAAATGCTTCCATCAGCAGGCGGAAGGCATGCCTGCATCTCATTGTTGCTCCCACGGTGGTCACGTGTGTGTGTGTGTGTGTGTGTGTGTGTGTGTGTGTGTGTGTGGTGGGGCAGCAGGGACTCTGTCTCCCCAGTCCCATCTGACTGGGGAAGTCAGTCAGGGTTTCCTGAGAACAGGGGCCAAGCCTCTGCCTTCCCGTAAGGAGGAGGAGCAGGACTTGCGAGGATGACAGTCTGACAGAGGAGACACGCATACACACCTACCTCGCGACCAGGAGGGCCCGGACAATTTTGTCTGGGGAGCGACAACGTGCCCAGCTTAAACACTGGGTTTCCCAAGCACCCTCTCCCGCCCCCTGAAACTGAAGCGCACACGCGTTAGTGCTGAGATACACACAGATGCGCACCGGAAGCACATGGTTTTCTCTTTGCCCTTCCGCTCCTTACAGGGCCCTTACAGGCAGCGGCACTGCAGCCATCGGGTGAACACGGGAGAGAAGACGCAGCTGGACCGGGGGGCAGAGAGAAAAGACAGGGGACTCCAGATCCTGCCGGCACCCACCCTGGCCAGGAATCTGTGTTATAGCAGAGAGACAACCAAACCACCCAGGTTTCTTGAAACCAGAGTGTATGAGGTTTCCTGTTCCTGGCAGCCGGGACACATTCCTAATGCACACAGGCAGGCTGTGAGACCTGCCACCTCCCCTTCCCGGTCCTGGTCCATCACTGCATGTGGCAATGCCCCGACTCTGGCCATGGCCACAGAGGAGCTGGCTCTGCCCACCTTTTGGGCAGGATGCTGACAGCTGGGGACCTGAGGCACGGTGCAAGGTGAATGTGTGGGAGAGGCTACCGGTGAGGAGCAGTGGGCAACCAGGGGGCGTCGCTGGGACCACCATGCAAACAAGAGGCAGGAAGTCGGCCTGCCCACAGCTTTTCAGAGACGCACACAACCGCAGCCTGACCACCCATCCTTGGACAGGGTCTGCTACCCTGGGCTGCCTGAAACCTACTCTACACAGAGGGCCCAAGGGGCCTCTCCCCCAGAAGCCCGTGCTGGCACTCCCCATGCGCCTCTAACCAGGATGGACCGGTGGTCGGGGAGGCTGGGCTCCGGGCTCAGCATGGTTCTCCCAGCTATCCAGACGCCAGCGCCACTGCCATGGTAACGGATGACGTCATGCCAGGCGGGGCCCTGCAGGATCTCAGAATGGAACCAGTTCAGCTCCTGGGACCGGGAGGATGGTGGAGGCAGGCAGGGGTGGGGACCGGCTTGTTTTTTTCTCTCTCAGGAGGTCAGATGCATGCGTGAGACGGAGAGTGTACCCAGGGGTCTGGGCGGTGTCCCGGGGGGAGGTCACAGTTGTGGGGCTTCTGCTGCTGACTTTCCACCTTGACCATCTTCTTCCTTGTCTGGCTTAGAAGACCAGTGTCCCACCACCTTCCTGCCCCTCACCCTGAACTTCTGCAAATGTAGCTCTTGGCAGGGACCTGGAGGAGGGAAGGCCCCTGCAAGCTGCCCCTGCTATTAGCTTGGGCAAACCAGGACCCCACCCAGTGCCCAGGGGCAGGGAGGCCACCTCGGGCAGGCACCAGGACGGGGCTGGATTCTTGGCCGAATTCGGAGCTTCTGGGGTTTCTCCTTGTTCACTGAGGCAGTCATGCAGCAAGAGCCACAATCAGAATCCCCAGCACAGTGGGGTGCTGGGCTCACCGACCTTCCTCGGGGCTTCTGAGAGTCTGCATCTTTTGTTGTCCATCAGCAGACACCCCTATGACCACGTCCCTGGCTTTGGCCAAGGCCACGCAGTAGGGCAGGATGGGCCGTAGTCTGGGGCCAGGGGACCTCAGTTCCCATCCTACCTCTGAGACCTCAGCGTTCCAGGGTATCCACATGATTTCTATGGGCGATGGTCCACACAGGCTGTAGGCCATTTTCTCGCAGGCATTCGATTCTCGTGGAACTCCAGCTGCAAGCAAGGCCAGCCAGGGCTGCCCACAGGGCCTAGGGGATTCGGC